TGGGATCTCCCACATCTCTCCAGCCCATGGGCAAGCTTGATGTAAAAAAAAAAAAAGAAAGAAGAAGAAGCTTGTTGAAGTTTTAGGGGCCAGGCCTCCAAAATGGCAAATCTCTCTTCTACACATTCCATCATCCAGAGCTGGTCACTTGCCCTGTCTTGATGCAAAGATGTACCCCAGAAGGTTTGGGTGAACATTTAGCAATATCTCATTCTTGCAAAAAAAAAAAAAAAAAAAAAAAAAGCCTAAGCTGGCGAGTGGAAGTATGTAACAAATTCAGAATGATGTGCCCTTCTTTATTATACCATAGGCCAATAATCTGCTGTCGGACAAAATAAAACAAAAAACAAACAAAACAAAACAACACAGAGAGAAGCAAACACACACACATACACACACCCATTCCCACAAAGGTAAAGCTCCCATAGTTATCCTTTCTTACGACTACATAGAACTGTCAAAGCCTAAAAGAGTCAATAATCGATTCATCTCTAAGCTAGTGGCCCTAGGGTCGCATCACAACTTCAACAGTGTTAGCTTATGATTTTGTGCAATCACTTCTCCATCTAGATTTTAGCATTCTTCTCCGTAATCATACTATATAAATAGCCATGGGTTTCCTGAGCCTGTGTTGGACTTATAGACAAATTGTGGTGTGTTTATGGAGTCCACAGGGAATTGTTTTAAAATCAGGACCAAACTGGCAGATTGGGCTATGTGAGACTGTATTAGTTTCCTGTTGCTGCTGTTTTTACAAAGAGGACCAATTTTGCAGCTTAAAGCAGCAGTCACAGACCCTGAGCCAAGGGTTGGTAATGGTCATGGCCTGTTAGGAACTGGGCCACAAAGCAGGAAGTGAGGGATGGCCAAGTAAGAGACTCATTATCTGCATTTCCAGCCATTCCTCACCCCTCTATCACCACCTGAGCTCTACCTCCTGTCCCATCAGAGGCAGCAGTAGATTCTCACAGGAGCATGGGCCCTACTCTGAGCTGTATGTGTAAGGCAGGATCTAGGTAGCATGCTGCTTATGAGAATCTAATGCCTGGTGATCTGAGGTGAAGCTGAAGTAGTGATGCTAGCACTGGGGACTGGCTGCAAACACAGATTCACATTAGCAGAAAGAGCTGGCTACACAGAGACCATAATAAATCATCTGCGTACGGATTTATATCAAACTATATCAGGGAGTGGCAAGTGGCAATTAAGTGCATGGAGTAGACTGAAATAAGCATTTTGGGTGTCACTGTTTCCCCTCACTCCCAGATGGAACCTTGTTACAGGAAAACAAGCTCAGGTCTCCCACTAATTCTGCATTATGGTGAGTTGTATAATTATATATCACAATGCTCGATAAGTGTAGTGTGCTTGAATCCCCCCAAACCACCCCCAAGTCTGTGGGACAAAATTATCTTCCATGAAACTGGTTGCTGGTGTGCAAAAGGTTGGGGACTGCTGGCTTAAAGCAACACAAATTTATTTTGGAGAACAGAAGTTTCAAATGACTCTTATAGGGCAAAAATCAAGGTGTCAACAAGGCTGTTTTTTTCTGGGGGCTCCAGAGGGGAATCTGTTCCTCCATCTTCTTGCCTCCACAGCTGCCTGAGGTCCCTGGCTGGTTGGCACCTCTCTCGTTTGGTTTTTATCATCCCATTGGTCTCTTCTCTTCTGTCTCCCTCTGAGAAGGACCCTTGTGATTATATTTAGGTTCCTCCTGGATATTCCAAAATAATCTCTCTATCTCAAAATCCTTCATTTCTTCATAGCTGCAAAGCCCCTTTACCATATAAGGTGACATTCAGCCATCTGGGTGATTAGGACAGAGATATCTTTGGGGTCCTCACTCAGCCTATGTTAGGGACAGACTGATGCAGTCTGAGGGACATTAGCTGTTCTGTGGCCAGGGTCAGGGGAGCCAGCACAGTCTGTCTAACCTGGCTTTACACTGAGGTCTCTGGGAAGAGGCCCTGTGGAGAAAGGCCCAGGGCTTGGAAAAGAATATGTCTGGCTTTGCATTTCTACTCTGTGGTCCCCATTATGTGGCCTTATATGAGTCAGTTTACCTTCCTAGACCTATTTTTAAACCAGAAAAAAATATATCTAAATGCAATGGCTACTGTAAAGACAATCAGTAACCTGTAAAAACACAGCAATGCCAGTGACTGCAGGTGTTATCATAACTCCCCACCTGGGCCTCCCAAGGTTAGGGGGAGTGAGGTCCCCACATCCTTTCGCCTCTGGCTTCATTGTCTACAAACCACAATCATGGTGGCAAAGCAAGGCTGGAGCAAGGTCCCAGCATGGGGCTCATACTTCTCTAAAGTATGAAATCCTCTCCCTCGCCTGCTCTGGGTGTGTCCATTCTTTCCATGCTCTAGACTTTTCCTAGACCCAGAACCCATCTCTGGTGTGGTGTGTAAAAGAGTGGGCTCTGGAACCAGGCAGCTCTTGTTCAATGCACAGTTTTCCCATTTACTGACTCTATGACTGGGATACACTACTTAGCCTTGCTGTGATTCAGTTTCCCCCCGTGTGTTAGGGAGAACAGTGGCAGCCACCTCATGGGATCATTGTGAGGATTCAGTGAGATGGTACCATAAATACAAAGGGTGTTTCAGACTCCCCAGATCGCGGGCTCAGTGCACCCTGGTCCCCCACCCTCACCAACATCAGAGGAGACAACTGAGTCATATCCAAGCTGCTACCTAAATGAACCAACTTCCAGATCAGTTTATTATCAAAACACAGTATAAATGTTGTCTTTATGCTCAATAAACAGTTCCTTGGCTCTGCAAAATGAAATATCCCTTTCATTATGAAACCGAGAAGCCATCTATCCCACATCTTAAGTGGTATAAATAGATGGTGCAGCAGTCAGGGAGGGATAATGACACTGTTTATTTTCACCAGCTCGCGATGGGCTGACACTGTGTGCACACTGGGGACCAGTGAGGCTCCTGGAAGGGAACTCAGAAATCTGTCACCCACGCCAAGAACAAGGTGTGAGACATCTGTGTGCAGGTGGCGCTTGCCAGGCCTGGGGATGATGGGAGGGATGTCAGGATTCCACCTGGCACCTTGAAGAGCTGGCGCAACTGAGCTGGGGAGAGCAATTCTGGGGAGGGCGTGAGGAGCCCCGAGACGCTGTGGCATCACCTGTTGTGGCGGAGGTCACTGTGGCTCCCTGCACAGCCCTTCACCCAGCCTGAGCTTTGGAAGCAGCCGCTCCCAGAGTCACTTGGTAGGACTGGATGCAGAGCCTGAGACTGGCCTGGTCAGGGTTTGGGGTCCTATGCCATAGGGTGCTGGGTAGGCCCTAACTTCCTGGGCCCTGTTCTGCAAAAGGGGAATGAGGCATGCCTTGCCCACTTTGGGATGAAATGAAAAAAGTGCAGGTGATCGTTCTTTCTTTCTCTCTCTCTCTCTTTCTTTCTTTCTTTCTTTCTTTCTTTCTTTCTTTCTTTCTTTCTCTCTCTCTCTCTCTCTCTCTCTCTCTCTTTCTCTCTTTCTCTCCTCTCTTTCTCTCTTTCTTCCCTTCCTTCTTTCTTTCCTTCTTCCTTCAGTACTAGAGATGGAAACTGGGGCCTTTGTACTGAGCTATACCCCCAGCCCTTTTATTTTCAGACAGGGTCTTGCCAAATCACTAAGTTGCTCAGGCTGGACTCTGACTTGCCATTCTCCTGCCTCAGCCTCCAACATCCTGAGATTACAGGTGTGCAACAACACATCAGGCTGTGCAGATACTTTAAATATTCTGCTTTGCACAAACATGTGCCATGAGTTTCCAGGACAGGAAGCAGAATTCCAGAGAGAGTTGATGGCTTTGGAGGTCCTGGATCAGGCCCAGGTCTCCTAATCCTTCATTGTGAACTCTTTCCACCAATGTATTCCTGTGGGTTAAACATTGTCTCAGGAAAGGCAGGGCACCACCTAAATGTGCAGTGCACAACTCTAATTTGGGGAGGGCTGTGTGCTATTCACACAGGAAGCTCCATGAATGGCTCCCACTGGCCTGATGCAGTGTGCAGCTTGCACAACTGATATAGTGGCCCAGCTGAAGTTCTCAGCTAGGAAACAAATGTGTTTCTAGGGATACACTGGCCCACTGACCCTTTATACAAATTAGTTTCTCACTTCCCTGGAAGAAAATAACAATTGGTAGAGATGGGGTCCAAACCATTATGTTGCAGTGATGTGATAGGATGAGAAAGGTCCAAGCCTGGAGCGAGACTGTCCACAGTGTGAGCACCTGAAACAGGGAACAGGAGTGGGAAGAAGTCTCAGCAGCCATGGCAAGCTGGTGGCAGAAAGCATGAACAGGTCACCTCCCCGCTTTGAGACTTGCAGGTCTCATCTGTGCAATGGCCACAGCAACACCTCATCACTCTGGCCCAGCCTGGGCTCCCCGCCCCACCCCCCACCCCCCAGCTGTGCTGGTGCTGTCCTGACAGCAGAGCTGGTCCCTTCCCTGCTTTGTCCCTGGTGGAGGTGAGAAGGATGCCTGTGTGAGGATTCTGTCTCCAGCAGGGGTGGGCAACCAGCCAGCTGAAGACTGCTGGGGCCACAGCCAGGGCTGGGGGCAGGGCTTGGGGAGAAACTGAGGCCCGAGTCTGGGTCTGATCTGAGTGTTGGGGCGGGGGGTGGGAGGTCAGGCAGGTGGTTATAGGCCTGTGGGGGCCTGAGCTGTGAAGGTGCACCCGCGATCTCCGAGTGTCCAGGGCGGAAACAGCTCCAGATGCTTCAAGCAGGTTTGATGCAAGGCACTGGTTACGGGGGGCTTAAAGGACAGAGCAGTAGAGGAAGATGGAAAGCTGGTTTTGTCCGGGGGCCTGAGCGCCTGCACTCCAGCAGGGCCCACAGCAGCCCATCTTCCACCCGCCAGCCTCCCGCCGGGGCCTCCTATTGGCCGAACTCGATAGGAAGCCAGCAGCAAGGCAGCCTGGGAAATGTAGTTCTGAGGGTTGCCAGGAGGGAGCGTGTGCCGCTGTGGGCACTGTGTCCTCTGAGTTCCGGAGCTGGACCAGAGAGGATGTGCTGTCTTATTTAAAGGTTAGTTTGGGATCATCTCAACCCCCTTTTGTGGGAGGTAGTGTGATACCAGTTTTATAAGAGAGGCTCCGAGAGGTTAAGTAAATGCCAAGGTTCACACAGCTGGCAAATAACAGGGCGAGATCTGAACCCTCAGCCTTTGCTCCTACACTGTGGGCCAGAGTTCAACTGAGCTGTGGCAGCCAGTCCCACAGGAACCAGGACTTGGGCAGAAGCCAGGAAGCCGGTTAGGCCTAAGTGGGAGGTGGTGGGTGCCCCTGCAGCCTTCGTGGCCCCAAGAAGCTGTGCTCAGGGGGCTGCTAGACACAGAAGTAGCGGAGGTGTCCACTGTCCTCAGGGGATGGGAAGAGGGCTGCTGTCTTGGGGTGCAGGGTTGGGTTTGGGGAGATGGACTGATGACTGCCCACCTTGGAGAGGGAGGCAGAGGCCATGGAGTGCTGCGAGGTGGGACCTGGACAGCAAGGGAGGTCGGCACCCACCAGCTGTGGGGACCAGGCACCTGTGAGTGGGTCCCGGACCACCATCTCTCTGGACCACAGGGATCGTAGGACAATCTGTGGGAGAGAGGATGGCAGACCACAATCCAGAGTGCCAGGCTGGAGGCCCAGCTCTGTCCCCTCCTCCCCGAGTTCCCTTAGGCAGATCGAAGTCACCTTTGGTTTGGGGCCTGGTGGTCCTGCTAGGAAAGTACAACATGGCCACCAATGTCACCTGTAAGGACCATGGCAGACCCTCTGAGGAGGGCTGTGATCACCTGCTGGCTGCCCTGGCCCTCTGTCCCTCTATTCTGACAACACCTCATGTCCCCATATCCCACTTCTCTTAGTCCTTCCAATGGAGGGTCCCCTAGGGCTTCTTTCCAAGTCCTTGATGTCCCAAAGAATCGGACAAAATGCACAGAAAAGACAGCAAAAATGTACATTTACTGAAGGCAGAAAAGGAGTACGCTTTACAGGATGAGAGGAGGCTGGTAAAAAGGCTCACAGCAGCCTGGAGGATAAGGGAAAGGGCCTTTTGTATCCTAAATACCCGGGTTATCTCTCTTTTATGTAAATAAGGAATTGGGAAACACTCAATTGGCAGCACATTGTGTGTAAACTGTCCTATCAAAACACTGGCTTGGCTTCCTGTTCATGTAAATGAAGGGTCAGGAATAGTGTCTTTTGATTGGCTGTACCCACATGCAAATGAAGAATTAAAAAGAGTATCTTCTGATTGGTCCTGTGAACAGCAACAGATTCAAAAGAAGATTGAATATAGCAAGTTTCTGAGTTTGGCCTTAGCTTCCTGTTGGCTGACTGACCTCCTCGTAACCTCTCAGGGGCCATTGAGCTGAGGTTCTTTTTTTTTTTAACTTAATTTCTTTTTATTTTATATGTATATGTTTGTAGTACATAATGTTTACATTCCTTGTGGAGAGTTGGTACATGAACATTGACATCCCTCACATACAGGAGCCTGGGGATTCCTGACTCCTTCTGGTGTTCTTCACACCAGAGGCATTCTGGGAAGGGCTTGCTCCTAGGAAGACTCTCACTTGGGGATTGGTGCAATCAACAAACTTCAGTGGGATTGTTTGGGAGAAGGCATTTCTGCCATTGAGCTAGAATCAGAATCATGACTACGTTCCCAAGCCTCTCCCAAAGCTAGAGCAGACAATTGAACTAGGTTTGGGCCAATAAAATGGTAAAAGAACCTGACATAAATCCTTTGTCCCTTTGTGTTTGCTTTCTTTCTACTTCATGGATTCTGAATGTAGCAGCTGGAGCACAAGCAGCCATATTAGACCATGAAGCAATGCATTAAAGATGGCAGAGGAACTGGATAGAAAGAGGCTAAGATTCTAGTGAATTCATGCTTTTTTTATGACACTAAAGCAAAAACTTATGTCTTCTTTAAGCCATTGTTATTTTAGCATTTGGATATTCATGGTTCAATTTGACTTTCCTTAATAGAGCATTCTCCAAACACAGAATGGTTTTCACATTTTTCATTCCTTTCATTTGTCCCCAGGGCCTTCCCTGATTATGTTCAGCCCCCTTTCCTGGATTTTCCCTGTGAGTCCCCAAGGGCCACCCACCAATCTGGTCTTGGTCCCTTAGTTCTCTGTCTCTTTTGTTCATTTTGGTGCCTTTAGTATCTTATCATATTATTGCTTTTATTTTCTCTTAGGGTAGAAATTTGTGGTCTCTTTTAGTGTAGAGCTGGGAGCTATAGTCTCCTTACTGTGTCAACTATTAGGCTCTGGGGACGTACAGGTGAACAAAACAAAATCACAGTCCTTGCCTCATAGAATTAAGGGTTCAACAGAGGTAAACAGGCTTTCAACAAATAAACAAGTGACTATATAATTACAAAATCCAGGGGCATCCTGTTCAGGTCAGATGCTCAGGGAAGGCCTCTTTGAAGAAGCAGCACTTAGGGTAAGATGGGAAAATGAGAGCAGGCATACAGAGGAAATAGTGCTCTTGCCAAAGAGATAGCAGCATGTGCAAAGGTCCTGGGTACCCAAAGAAATGAATGAGGATGGAAAGCAAGGGGGAAAGTGGAAGGAGAGATCAGAAAGCAAGCCAGAAGCCAGATCACCCAAGAACATGTGGGCATGGCAATAAATCTGGATTTCACTCAAGTAACAAGCAGATTTATGCACCAAGATGATCCATTAAGCTCAGTTCTCCTGCCTGTACCCACAGTGGTTTAAATATGTCTGGAGGAAGGCTGTCCAGGGCTCCCATGAGGCTCCAGGATGCCATCAGCCACCCAGATCCACCATGCTTGTCATGTGACCCAATGTGGCTGTTGGAACTCTAGTCACATCCAGAGCCAGGCAACAGAAGGAAGGTGAGCAAGATCTCTTGGCTGATCCAGCCCGTGAAGGGTTTGCCAGTCCTTGCTAAGAAGCTTCTGCTGACATTGCATTGGCCACTGTGGTTGCAGAGGATGCTGGGAAATGTAGTCTTTTAGCAGCGCACAGTCCCACCATACAGAAATTGACTTCTTTTGGTAAGAAAGATTGAGGAAATGGATGTGTGGTCAGGAATAAGGAGTCTTTTCCAGAGCTGGGCTTTAGGAGGCATTTGCTAAAGTCTTGCCACATAAGATTGAGGGAAGGAAGCCAGACGTGAAGGAACACTACGTCCAGGAAAACCAATCTGTAGGTCAAACCAGAGACTACTCATTGGTGGGCAAAGGCCTCAAGGAACTTTCCGGGGAGCTGGGAATGTTCTAGTGCTTCATCTAGGTGCCAGTTATGGGACAGAGGCTCATGTAAAAATGTAGCAAGGCATCTACCAGACATTTATGTGCCTTACTGCATAAACACTACACTCCGATATTTTTTTAGAAGTATATTCATTCCAAGATTTATATGTCTCCTGGGAATTAATCAAAACACACACACACATACACACACATTTTTTTCTATTTGTTCACTTTGTGGAAGGCTCTAGCATTAGAACAATCACCAAGCTTGCTAGATCTCTTTCATAAGGCTCTGCTCAGGGCCTCTTCTCTGCAAAAATTTCTCTGCTCCCCTAAGCTAGGCATGCCATCTCTCTCCCCTGAGATATCCCCAGCTCTTTGTCCCTTGGTGACATGGCAGACTCTGCCTTGACTTCTCTGCCTTAGCACAAGCCCTGGAGCATGTTTGTTGAACAAATAGATGGCTTTAATGACCTAAGCACTGTCCATGCCAAGACTTTATTCATCTTATGTTCTGGGGGTGGAGAGATAACAACACCAGAGCCCTGTCCACTAGACAACCTGTCCTTGGACCCAGTAGAAGCATTCCAGTAACATAGGCAGTGGGCAGAAGGAGGAGATGGCTTTGTGGGAACACATCCCAGGCAGCTGGGAATGATTGGAGAGGCCAGAGGCAGTGGAAGGAATGAGGTGTGTGCATGCAGGTCTGAGGCCTGAGTGGACACAGGGAGCAGCAAGCCCAGGCCCATAGCATGGTCCTCCCCCATAGCATGGTTGGTATCTGTCTGCTCAGATGAGAAAACCTTGGAGCCAGGCAGGGTGGCCTCCAGGAAAGCCGGCTTCCTTCCTCCCTCTCCTCTCCCCTCCTCTCTGCTTCTCACAAAGTGGTCCTGAAATGACACTGGGAGCAGCTGCTTAAGCAATTTTGCCAATTAATGGGTCTCTGAAATTAAACCGCCTACACAGTCTGGATGAGCCTTCTCCAGGAGGGACGGCGGCAATTGTCTTCATGATAATCAGGCCTGACTTGCCTTCACACACATTAATACGAAAGCGAAGGCGCCGGGAGAGGTGCCCTTTCTCGGGGAATATCGACAATATCGTAATGAGGCTTGGGGAGAAGGATGCTGAGGCATGGTTCTGCATGCTCAAATCCTTTTCCCTCTGCTGCCAAGAGCTGCCTTGGCTGCAGGCAGCTGGGCAGACAGTAAAGGAATACCAATGCCCCAAGCCAGGCAGGCTGGATGGCCTGGGGAACACACAGCAAAGGGCAGGACGTGCTTAGGAAGGGCAAGCAGGAGGACCTCCTGGGGGAGTGGCCTGGGTGGTGGCAGGAGAGGGAACAAGCCACTGAGTGCCCTCAGCACCGAAGGGCAAAATCCAAAGCACATCGGCCACTGGGCAGCTTTCTTCCCCACCCAGCAGGACCTCGGAATCTTCCTCAACACAGTGACTCCCTGTGACTTCTCCCAGCTGACTAAAGTTAGCACCCAGAAGGAATCTGCTTGCCATCCAAGCTCAGGGTACATACAAGTTTGCTTTTCGCATCTTCCTGGTATTCTCCCAGTGGGCACCGGATTTTTCCAAGGATCAAAGACTTAGAGGCAGAATTGCAAAGATGGAAATTCAAGAGAGGTGTACAGATGTTGGGCTGCAGAGTTATCTAGATCCCTGTGAGATGAGGACATTTCCAGCTATCCAATATCTACAAAATGATAGCTGTCCTGTATGCTTCCTTCTTCGGTTTTTCTTAGCCCTTGTGTTGGGCCCCCATTTTGCACACTGAGAACCTGAGGCCT